CCCCAAAACCCCAAAACCCCAAAACCCCTTGAAGTCGTATTTTTTATATCTGATTAATCAGTTGAAAAATGAAATGGCTTTATTTGTAATTATAATTTTAAAAATGATAGAATCGAAAACCAAATCAATTCCCTCCAATTAATTTTATGAGAGGAATGCTGGAGGTGAAAAAAGTGACATCAAATTGAGTTCATTTATTCAGCTCCTAGAGAGATTAGCCTAAACTTAGAAAACTGGAATGAAATTACAGTAAGCTGTTATCTCAACGATTATTTATTATATAGGATAATTGAGAAGTTTATTGAATAGTTTTATCAGGCTTATGATCACAGACAGATATTCTAATTCATGAGATTACTAATGTCTAATGTAAGTGAATTATTTATATATTGTCCCATTAGCTTATCTGACTTTCAGCTAGATCGAGAAAGAGGCAATTATGGGTTGAAAGAATCAACTTTGGCTAAATATTATGCAGAAATCTTGCTCTTACCTCCTGCTGAGGCTGACAGACTTAAGCACTGGAAAAATCCAACGAAATAGCCTGTTGGTTCGCCTACTGGTGACTTCGTAGGAGTTTTGGTCCATGTAATGAGAAACAGAGCAAGGAATGACTCCAAACTCACTTTAAATTAACTGAATCAGTTGTTAGATTAGCTGGCTCGTGCCTTTGAAAACGATAAGAAGAAGTAAATACTTGCTAAATTGGTACAGGATACAACAGTAGATGAATAAAAATGGATTGCTAGGATCATATTGAAAGACTTAAAGATAGGCATTGGACATGAGACCATCCTTAAAAGCTATCATCCAGATGCTTTAGAATTGTTTAACGCTACTAGTGATTTAAGATCAGTTTTTGAAGAGTTACAAAATTAGGAGGACTAAGCTAGGAAGGGAGGTGCGCAAATTTTCAGAATGTTCTTCCCTATAAAGCCTATGCTGGCTGGAAAGTTGAATCCATAGCAAATTGCTGATTTTGTGAGGAAAGAGGGAAAAGTAATAGTAGAAAATAAATATGATGGCGAGAGAATCCAATGCCATTTATAAGATGGAGTGGTGAAATTTTTCACCAGAAACTCAAATAACTACACCAGAATCTACGGCCCAGGAATGGGCAAATATATAAAGGAAAACGTAGATGCATAAGCAGCAATACTTGACGGGGAAATGGTAGTTTGGGACAACAAAAACAATCGCATTGCAGCTTTTGGACAGAACAAGTCTGTGGCTCTGAAGGAATATGGAGTCTATGAAAACCCACCTGTCTAAGGCTATAACCCATATAAACATCACAATCAAGCTCAAGAAGAATCAAAGAATAAGGATTAAGACGATGGTGGTAACTCACATCTATAGCTATGTTATAAAGTCTTTGACATCTTGTATATAAAAGGGCATGGGGATAGTGAGGAGATCAATCTAATGGGTGCAAGACTTTAAGATAGGAAGACAGTGCTTAGTAGAGTGATCAAAGAGATTCCTAATACTTTAGAGGTAGTGATGGGCAAAGTATGTGAGAGTGTAGACCAAGTATTTGAAGAGTTTAATCAGAGTATTTATAAAAATGAAGAGGGAATTATTATAAAGAAGTGCGATTCAAGCTACAAACCTAATGAAAGATCTATTATATGGATTAAGCTTAAAGGTGAATATATAGATAGTCTAGGAGATACTTTAGATTTAGTGATAATAGGTGGGTATTTTGGAGAGAGAAAGAGAATTGGGGTAAGTAATAGTTGCTAGTAAATATTAAATTTAGGGTACTGATTGGACTGACCATATCAATGTGTTCTTAGTTGGAGTCATTAAAAGAATAGACAAAAGCAATCCAGCAAACTCAGTTGTATATCCTTTTTCAAGAGTTGGAACTGGCTACTCAATGGATGAACTTTAGAAGCTAAGATAAAAACTAAAGAATAATTGGAAGATGTATGATGCTCGAATGCCCCCAGCTTTGTATGGCAGATGGGTGCCGACTATGTCTGATAGACCCGATGTCTATATATCAGATGTTTCGCAATCAGTTGTTCTTGAGATTAGAGCTGGTGAGCTTGTTGTCTCAGATTAATATCCCACAATGTATACACTCAGATTCCCTAGAGTGCTTAAAATTAGATATGATAAGAACTGGGATGAGGCTTTTACAATGAATGATCTTTAGGAAATGATTTCTAATTTCTAAGAGTCCAGAAGGCTAAAGAAAAAGGATAAAGCTGACGGATAATACTAGCTAAAGGATGGAGATCATGAAGATGATGACTTAAATGATGAAGATGGTAAGAAAAAGCGTAGACCCAGAAAGAAAGTCTAAGAAGAAGTCAAGGAAGGTGATCCTGATTAGCCACTCTATATAACTCATAAGGATAAGTTCAGCAAGGTAGTTGAGTTCTTTAGAGAAGCGGATGTGAAAGATGTTGTTAAGAAATCTGACATGTTTAAGAACATGGAGTTCTATATTGTGAATGTGAATGATCTTGTAGCTAATAAACCTTACCTGGAAAGTAGAATAGTTGAGCATGGAGGTAGAAGAGTGCAGAATTTACTACCAACCACAACTCATGTCATTGCGGATCAGTAAACTTCTTCAATATTAATTGATATTTAGCTTGGATTTCAAAGTGAAGATCTTAATTGATAAGCTAAACTTGAACATCGTGAAGTTCAATTGGATTCTAGCTTGCATTGAGCGAGGCTTCTTAGTTGAACTCGAACCAGCATATATGATTCACTCTAATGAGCATCTCTAGGCTTACTTTAGAGATAATCTTGACTAATATGGTGATCACTTCACTTAGCAAGTGGATAATAAGAGGCTAAAAGAAATTCTAGATAGTATTCCAAATGATAAAGTTGAGTTTCAGATCATTGAGATTGATTAACAAGTAGAAGATGTGATAAATGAAGGGAAGACTTTCCTTAATAA